GGTTGTGGGGGGGGAGGGTGTGTTTCCACCTGCGTGGACTCTTCCTGGGACCTGTGGGGGGGCCGCGCTGGGAGCCCACACGCAGTCCTGGGCCCTTTCTGAGGACCCTCAGCCGAAAGGGGACAGAGACCGAGAGTGAGCTGGTCCCACACCCTCTCCCAGTTCCCGGTCGGTCAGCAGCGGGAGGAGCCGGCCCGGCTCTGGGGTGGCCTCTACCTGGGGGGCAGGCTCTGTGGTCACACCCCTCCCCCTCCCTGCTCACTCCTCTGGGCCCGGTGGCTGGGATCAGGTGCCAGGAAGCCCGGAGGCCCAGCCACCTGCAGAGCTGGGTTTGGTTGAGCCAAGGGCAGGCCTCCTGGCTCAGGGGGGCATTTGTGTGGACAGGGGCTGGGAGGCTGGGGGGCAGGTGTGAGGCCTGGGACACGGACCCAGAGGCCAGGCCTGGGTGGAGGTGCTCTGGGCACTGGTGAGAGCGGCTTCTCAGAGAAGCGACGTCATTGGGCCATTCTCCAGGTCCTGGTCCCGCACCTGCTCTGGTCCCGCAGTGGATGAGGGATGCGAACTCGAACCTCAGGACAACCGGGGCCCCAGGACAGAGGCAGGGCTGGGGCTGCCTGGCTGCCAGGGCAGGGCCTGCCTGGCGGTGCCCCTCCCATTAGCAGGGACTCGGTGCCACCTCCTCAGCGTGGGCCGCCCCGACCCCGGGCCCTGGAACACGGTGCCCGAGACGCGGCTGCTGGTTCTGAGGGGCTCTGAGCAGCTGGGCCAGCCCGGGTGGGGTGTGGAGTCAGCTGGGAACCGCCTGGATAAGGTGGGGAAGCACGTGCGCCCTCCAGCACATCCTCACGCGTGGGTTTCAGCCCCACCCAGGGGTCAGCGTGTGGCCGTGGTGTTCCTGCAGGTGGACGGGGCCTGAGTGAAGGGGCAGACCCCGGGTGGGGGCTCAGTGCAGACACTGTCCGATGTCGCACACGGGCTGTCGATGGGGACAGAGCTGTGTCTGAGCATCCACAGGGCCCGGCGCTGGTTCTGAAGGCGCGGTGCTCAGAATGGCTTCCCTGCGTTGGTTGAAGGATCATCCTTGGTACAATTTCACCTTCTGCTTTCAAACACGGGACTTGCAGGTGGCGCAGGCCCCTGCTCTTCGGGGCGGGACCCAGGAGATGGCCCGGAGCTTAGCTCTCCCTCCTGCCCTGGGGAACCCGTGATGCTGTGACCTGGGCACCCAGCGGGGGAGGGGCAGGGGGCGCCAGGTGGCCCAGGCCTCTGCCGGGGGGCCCCTCCTGCCCCTCCCTGCACCACCCCCACTCCCGCACCCTGGCTCCCGCAGCCCGGCCTTCACAAGGCCCCCACCGGCCTGTGTTGGTGCGGGAGGCCTGGCAGGGGCTGGTGAGAGCCGGCCAGCTGCACGGGAGGCCGCTCGGAGCCGTGCAGGCCCCGGAGCCAGTGCTCTGGGAAGCAGCGCGGCCTCTCGCCCAGGACCCGCCCCGGGAGGACGGGCTCTCACTCCCCGGAGGCTCTCCCCTCCTCTGGGTGCCCTCGCGGGGCCCTGGTGATGGTGGCCTCAGCCAGTGGCCCCTCGTGGAACCGGCTGCAGTCCCTGAACTGGGGGCAGCACACGAGCTGTGCCCCCTCCCCAGGAGGCCCGGCGCTACCCTCAGGCCAGCCTGCGCCCTCTTCCCACGGCCGTCTGTCCACCCCTGGAGGTCCTCCCAGGTCACTAGTTAAGCCGGGTCACTAGTTAAGCTGGGTCACTAGTAACCAGACACACCAGTCCCTGGTAAGAGGTGCTTCCACTGGCCCCTGGGGCCTCCCCTCTCTCCCTCCCCTCAGGCCTGGGTTGACCCGCTCTGCCATCTGCCCCCGAGCCAAGGGGCCCTCCCTCCGGATGCACCGTCCAGTTAGACCTCGGCTTCCTGAGACGTGCTGCCCTCGTCCTGTCTCTCCTGGAATGAGATGCTGGGCCAGGCGGCCGCTCGCGGTGTCTGCATCGCCAGCCGGGACATGCGCCAGACCGGCACCTGGCACCTCAGGCCGCTGGTCCCCGCGATCGGCTCTGCTCTCGCTTGAACTAGTGACCTGTCACGAATGGTGGTGTGTGTGTTGTTTTTTTAAAAAACTTTAACTGACAGTGTTGGTCTGAAGTTCATACATCCTTTAAGTTGTTCTGTCCCCCTGTTCCCTGTCCCCCTGTCCTGCTGCCCCCCTGTCCCGCTGTCCTGCTGTCCCCTGTCCCCCTGTCCCCTGTCCCCCTGTCCCGCTGTCCCCAGTTGAGACCCAGTCTCAGCCTCCCTCGAGGCAGCTGCCCTGGAGCTGGCCGGGGCTGCAGAGCTGTGACCCCCGTCATTCACCTGTGAGCCAGGCACCTGACCTCCCTCACAGCCCCCGGTTCCCTCCCAGGTCAGAGGTCAGCCAGCCGGTGGGGACTGGGTCTGAACCCACAGCCCAGTGCAGCCCCGCAGACGGGACGCGGCCCCAGCGTGTGGCCCCCACACCTGGCTCAGCCTTTCGCCAAAACCCATTTTACTGCGTGAAGCGTGTCTGTTCTCAGCGGCTGGTCCCCACGAGTCCGGGTGCTGGGACGGCGCGGAGTCCAGCGAGGGCCTGGCGGTCAGTGGGTTCAGTGAGGGCCTGGCGGTCAGTGGGTTCAGTGAGGGCCTGGCGGTCAGTGGGTCCAGCGAGGGCCTGGCGGTCAGTGGGTCCAGCGAGGGCCTGGCGGTCAGTGGGGACTGAGATGACGTGTGGCGGCATTAAACTTCTTGCTAAAGGAACTGAAGGAGGTGTGGGAGGGGAGTGGGGAGCTCAGGGCCTGTCTGTCTGTCCATCAGGTCAGCCCTCTCCACACAGCCTCTGCCGCCTGACCCCACCCCTGGGCCTGTTGACAGCTCACTGCTTCCTTCCACCCTAAATTAACAGGCGGTGGCCAGGCTGTGTCTGTGCCGGGACTCAGTCGGGAGGAGGCAGAGGAGGAGGAGGAGCAGGGGAGAATGCAAAGAATCTGGCCTCAGCTGAGCTGAAGGGGGAGGAGCCAGGGCAGCGGGAGGGCCCCCCTGTAATTAACTGGTCACTCCTTCCCCTCCCTCCTGCCGTCCAGCACCTGGAAGGACAGACAGGGAGTGACCCAGGGTCCTCTGCTGCCCCAGCTACTGGAGCTGTGACCGTGGGGGGGGCAGGCTCAGGCAGCAGCTCCCATGTCCCCCCTGGAGCGGGGCCCCAGGCAGAGCGCACCCGACTCACCCCACTGTGAACAGCTTCCGCCTCCAGCAAGGCCCCGCCCTGCAGCCTCAGTGTCATCTCTACCCCGCGGGGAAGACATCCTTCCCAGCTTGGCTAGGAGGGGGGACCATCCCGGAACTGGGGACCAGCTCCCCGCCCTGCAGCAGGGGAGCCCAGCACACACCCAGCTCCAGCTCCCTCCGCCCACACCTCTGTGCTTCTGGCCCACACAGCCCCCAGCTCTGGGTTCCCCACGTCTGGGGCCACATTTCACTCCCTGTAGGGAGGACGCAGGCGCCGGGGCGGGGGGCGGGGGGAGGCTGAGGAGGCTGG